CAAGAAACGAATCTAAGAAAATTAAACGAATACCTGTTGCAATAAGAGAATCAAGATGAGGTGAAAATCAGATTCGCGTTGATGACATTCGCGATTAACTCGCGCAGCAAATCATATATCAAAATGAAATGTTTATCATTGTTAAAATATCTTATAATAAAGCTTGTTCGCCTTATCGATAAAATCTCTGGTCTGGTATTATTAAGTGCATAAATCAATAACGATCGTTGATCGAAGATAAGTAAGAATGGATGTAGGGGGATGTGTTATTTATGAAAATCACGGACATTTTCTTTGGATCGATTCCACATTTTCACGAATCACGAAACAATATACGGTATTACTTGCGATATTATAAATTCAAACGTTATAAACGTTATCAAATATTCATTGGTATTGATGGCACTAAGAAATCGAGTTTTTGATACTTACGTGTTTCGCGCTTTTTATGAATATTCATAAAAAAAAAAATTATAAACCGTTTATTTATTTTTTCTGTTTAGGACCGAATATGTGCATTTATATTAACATGTATTTTGTTTAATTAACCTTTGCTTCTCGTTTGCTTATTGAGATATTTTAATGGACTGTTAAATGAATCTGTTTCTGAGTATAAGCAATGAAATTTTATATTCAAATATAAAATCAAAATATACATTTTACAGTCGCGAAATATTTCTTCTTCCTGTATAATGAAAATAGAAAATTATTCATATAATAATAATAATAATAATAATAAATAATATATCTATTATAATAAATTTTCGATAAAATTTATGAAAATATCTATACCAGAATTCTAATTAATAATTGAATTTTATTATTCATTTATTTATCGATTTTCTATAACGATATATTTAGATCGAACCTTTTCCTGTTCCTGTTGAAATAACCTCCCAAGACTTATTAAACCAATTGGATACAATTATGGCATGGTGAACCAACAGCTACCTGCTTTTTTATCATCTCTACTGAGCAGTGTCGTTGACTCGGTGACACGACCCATTGGTATCATTAACGTTGCATCATAATTGTTCCACTGAAGCGAGAACGATCGATTGATTTACACGTTGAATAACGAGCGAAACAAGAGCAAGCAATGCTCCGTGTCGAGATCGCATTCATTTTACCGTGTCTAAAATGTCGAATCGTCATTTGGAATACGCGCGTAATAACTAGAAACGCGTCAATATTATATTAACCAATGATCGAGAGATCTGCGATTCGAAGCCACTCCTCGAAAGCGAAATTTTAAATTACACGATATGTTAAATACGCAAATATTGGCACAATATATTCCTCTGGCTAACAAATTTTTAATTGATAAACATTTCCATTCTACAGCAATGATAACTATCCGTCAATATTTATAGGCAATAAGTCATAAGTTGAATAATTGACTTTCAAGTGTATGTGTTCCTCGTAGAAATTCTTCTCTTCCACGTGATGGTAACCAATCCACTAATCGTTCGTTACCTTATTTTCGCAATTTATTAACTTGTAAATTGTAATGACAGGACTTCCATTAATAGAATAAACTTGTTCCGTTTAATTCTTAATTTAAACAAGAGATTTCTCGACGAAAGAAAAACTTTTTCATTGCGCAAATCGATTTTCGTCTCTTATCCTTCTTCGCGTTACACCGATTACAGAGAGTTACATTTTGTCCGTCCATCACGGAACAGGATCACTAGCGCCGCATACCTCGAGAAACGTTGAATCCTCGCGTTTTAATCGCGGCTACCGTTTACCAGGTGTATCTCGAAGCCAAGGAAAATCATTTTCTACCTTGATATTACTAATTCAAGCTTCTCGGATGATCCCCGAGACGCATGGACGTTAACTCTCGTATCGAGCGTACGTATCATTCAGAAGCCTAGATTGCAGTAATTGCTCGCAATTTACCTTGCAAATCGCAATAAATAGTTTCTTTGTACGCGAGCCCGTGCAACTTTTATCTAACGTAACGCGTTTAGAAATATCTTGACGCGATGCAGCATCGCGGTTGCTCCAATTTTTCCAAGATTCGCTGACCGTTATTTATTAAGGCATGGAAATAAACGGGCAATTCATAACGCGTTAATAACATCCCGGGCATAATTCATCCGCTAAAATCCGCTCTACGAACAGCTCAATCGCGCGCTAGCGTTTAATATTAGGCGATGACCTAAACATCTAAGGTATTCTGAATGCGACACGGTCCGGCTACGAGGAACGAGCTTTATGCAATACAATTTTTGAGCTTAGACACAGTTAGACGAAAGGTATTAAAATTGTGTCTAATTCTGCGAAGTAGAGAAGAGAAATCTCTATTTTAAATCTTCTAAGATTGAGTATTGCAAAAAAAATGTATTGCAAAAGTTATATTTTCTGTGTAAATGAATTTTTGACGTGTCGTAATATAATAAAGATTGAATGAAGCGTCGATTCTTATTTTTTTATAATTTTTATAATTTCTCGATTTTTATTTTTATAAATAATGAAAGTAACGACGTTAACTTTATAAAATGGCTTGCGATATTTCGAAGAATTTGTTAATCAAATTCGGATTATTGGAGCCGCTTTTCACTATAATGAAACGCAACATTTATCTAGTATAATACATTATTATTAAACATGTTGCGTTATAAAATAACAAGAATTATAAAAATTGAAAAATTTGATAAATATGGAATGATAAATAAAATTATAATGCATTTATGTATGTAAATATGTTTAGTATGTTTTAAAAATGTTTTAAAAATGTTTAAATGCTACCTTAGAACATCTTGGTAATATACTGGTATCAGTAAGGTTATGGTTTGAGATAAATACTATCATTAAATCATTTTCACAGTGTTCTATTTTTAAAGTGTTGTTGTTTAAAATAAAATAGAATAACTATCTATTCTAAGTAACTAAACCGTTCACTATCTCCTCAGTTGAATTTTTAATGGGCAATTACGGCTTAACTCTTCTTTTTCATGTTCGAAACATTGTATTCAGAATATTCTCTAATATTAGAAATTCAATTATAAACATTTTAGTAGATGATCTATGATGTGAGAACGACTTAACTACGTAAACAAAACATTTGGATAACGTATCCAATTATTAATCCTTTGTTTCCATTTCACAATTTTAGATACACAAACTTTACTCTTAGATATAACACTATAAACTATATACCATTCACAAGTATCATTCGAAGCGATCTTTGAACATATAACGTTTAAGAAATCTCTATTAAGGAATCCATCAAAATTCATTTTCATTCATTTCCCGGAATTTAATAATTATTACAGACTTTACTACAAAATTCTCTTCTAAAAATTCCCAAATCAATTGAAAGATTTATAAACGCTACCTGAACAAAATTCTAAAGATAAGAAAAATATAAATTAATTATCGATATCGTGAATTAAAAGGATTCTGAGAATACCTTTTACGTTTTCAATTTTTTTATCGAAAGATCGTTCAACCGGAAAATCAAGACACGTTGTTCGTTTCTCGATGTGAAGAAAAAATCGATTCGTAGCCTAGACTGATTGCGTCACATCGTCGATCGATCGTATGAAAATTCCTGGAGGCATTTTCATGTCGAAAACCGCATTTTAACGAATACACGAATACCCCGGTCGGACGTCGGGCGTGTGCCACTTTTGTGACGTCGAGAGCGCCATTTAGCGTCATTAATAGAGTTGCATCAGCGCCGAGTGCACGTCGTGATACATCGATAGGAGTGGTTCGGCAAATAGATCGGGGCTGAAGATACGTATATGTATGCAAGGGAGAGAGAAAGGAGCACACCCATCTAAGCTTCGACATTTCTGAACACAACCGTGAATGATCCATGCGAATGATTTTCGTTTTCTAATTTTTTGACATTTATGATTTACATTTTTTTTCATAATACGATATTTAGCTATTGTTTATTAATAATTATTTATTTTTATTTATCATTAGTATAATTCAATACTTGTTGTGAATTAATAATGTGGCTTATTGTTCACAGTTTTTAATATTTTGTCTCACATCTCGATACCTTAAAGATTTTTGCAAGAAATATATAAGGAGAGTAGTATATAATTTTAAATAAAATTTAATTTTTAATTGTTTTTCAAAATATTCGATATTTGTCTTTTTATGGTCCTGTTGGGAAATTAGGGAATAGTTTATATAAATATTTTTAGTAATAAAATTAATGCATTCTCACATCTGTTATGCATAACTTTAAATATTAAAATTAAAATTTATATATTTTATATTGCTAAAATATTTATTATAATGTTACTTTTCGATAGTATATCTCATTAACTGATAATTGCTGTCAAATATATTGTAATATATTGTACCAGATTTTTGTACTAAAATTTGTCACACACGTAGTGCAATTACGAATCAAATTTCGCAAGTTTAAATATTATGTCCAATGGACTATGAAAAAAATGTAACATATATTGCTGTTTAAATTGTACATAAATTATACGCTTGATAAATTATATCGTTATATATCTATGCACTAAGAATTTCAAATGGACCAAAGTAGAATCGAATATTTTAAAAACCACGTCAAAACATTTCCAAGAATTCTAAATCAATCGTACTTGACACTAATCCAGATTATTCCAGATTAATAAATCGATCGATAATATTACTTTATTCCAGTTTCTCGATTTTCAAGAGTATTAAAATATATCAAGTTTTTCTGAAACTGAAAAAAAAAAAAAAACAAAAAAGAATAAGATTTAAAAGAAAAAGATAATATTAAAAAATATATTACATTAAATATTAGATATTTAAAAAAACAAACGAAATCATCTCCTTCTATTTTCCAAAATATTTGTCCTCCACATTCTTTTCTCAAATTACAAAGGCTATTAATCGTCTCATAAAGCATATTTTATTAACAAGAAACAAAATCATTCACTTTCCATACTCCTTCAAAACAAATTTCAATTTCATCCGAAATACCTTTCCTTCCTAAATAAATTTTCAAATCTTTAATCGAATGATTCCAGGAATCGTGGCGCCCAAATATCGTTTATCAATCCAATTACCATCACACGAATCTATCTCAATGGAAAGAGAACGACAGAGGAAGAAAATGGAGGAACGTAATAAATCGTTCTTCTAGTTACGACAGTGAAAAAGGAGAGAGAAAAAAAAAAGAAAAGAAGAAGAAGGAACGGAACGAAAGTTAAGTAAAAACGAAAGCGCGCGGTGAAAGCAAACTCGTAGAAATCATGTAAAATACTTACACGATTGATAATTACCGTGTCGAGTTGTAAAACGTTTGATAGAGAAAAAAAAATTGAATATCAGAACGTGGTAAAAAATAAAAGTAATTTTGAGGTAATTTTCTTCTGTAATTTAGACTAGTACGCGATTCTTTGTTTATTAATAGCTCCTATACGTGCCTTATTGTATTATTACGCCTATATAATACGCCTAAACACGATGCTTAAGAAACAGAAAATTGTCTGACGACTTCATGGTCGGTCGATCGTGTTTGTTAGGTAGCTGCTATTAACGTAATTTTCATAATGGATAATGATGGAAAATAAGTGTAAATGATGGAAAATGTGATAATTGTTTAAGTGAGAAGTTTTTAAAAAAATGGAAGATCTTTGATGAGAAATTTGAGAAAATAAAATTCTCTTGCAGCAATTTCGATAAAAGAAATATTATTAATCGAATATGTATACTATGTGTAATATTCGAATGAAAAAAATAAAGAGGGATATTTGTAATTTAAATTATGTATGAATACGTGAATAAACGCACTTCATAATAAGAATATAAAAGGTATATAAGGTATAAAAGGTAAGCTCGAATGCGTAATATTTGTTTTAAAATTAAGAGACGTAGTAAAGTTACAAACGGTTGCTTGTTTTTCTTTCAGTTGATCGATGGGAAACGTCGAAATATTTTTATTTCGCAGTTATTCATTCCGAAACATTGAAATTTAAATACGTGACCGATAAAGGATCGATCCTTGAATTTCGATCAGCGAAGCCAATTTCTACATAACGTTTTCTACATTCAACTTCACTCAGTGACAACTATTTGTCTTCATTTGTACTGTGCTGCTCATTGATCTTGGCAGAATAAGGTCTCCTTAGTATAAATTCCACCAACTCCGATGGTACAAAAGGCGCTTTAAATGGAACATTGATTAATCTTATTAGGCAAGTATAAGCAGATCTGAGGAAATCTATGTGAAAAAGACCTGTGTTAAAGGAGAAAAAGTTTAATTCTAAAAGAAAAGAAAAAAAAAAAATATCGACCTCAACATTCTTGCTTTTAATTTACAGATAGATCTATGGTCGAGGTCCATAATTTCTTTATCATCGACGTGCACAATTAAGGAAAGTATTTCAATCACAATGAATCTATCGGAGGGTCATTGAAGCTCGTTTTGAGAAATTACTGCCCGCGATTATTTCACGTGGAACAACCGATAAAATTTAATGCGACGCCGGGTCTCTTCCACGATTCCTTTGAACACGGCTGCGTAACCTGTTCTGAGATCATTAGATTCAATCTAGGCACATGGTGATTCCACCGGTAAAACGGAAGATATCGATTCTCGATGGAAGCTTAAGCATTCTGCTTACCATAGTTTCAACGCATTCCTCCACATCATTCCATAATTATAAGGTAAAATCAATTACGATGAAATTGTTCATCCTGTTGATGAATCGTTATCTATTAAGGCTTGCTTAATCCGAATAAATTTCCAAAAAAGAAATAAAATCATAAAAATTTCGTGTTTCTTATAGAAAATCAGAACTTAGAAAAACATACAAACATAAAATATTATATCCCTAATTTCAATTTTAATCTCCAATATCCAATATCCACCTTCTAATCTTTCTATTACTAATTTTTCTATCGGGTTCACCTCTTACCGTAAGTTCGTATTCCAATGACAGATATAGTTTTCCCACTGCACAGACATTATCGATCGACCGTGTCCATTTTCTATAATTGTACTAATTTATCGCCCGATTCGATGTTATCGGAGCGTGGCTTATGGAACGAGTCACCGGTAACCATAGGATTTTAATGATCTTAATCTTTATTCGAGGGAAAATCAATTCACCGTACGCTTGATCTGGCCCTGGTTAGTTTGTTTCCCAGTCAAACGAATATACGACTTCCTCCTCGGAGAAAAGTTGCCTCAAACTCAGCCTCTACACGTATGTAGAAGAACATAAGTTTCATCGGTGCACAAGACTGACTATACCCCTACGGCATCAAGTTTTGCAAGAATTTGTGATCTCGTACATTGTATCTCGAGAAGCGATACGGTATAGTTCGAGGTTTATCGCATTCGGTAAACAGAAATGGAATATGAATGTATCTTGATCTCTCTCTCTCTCTCTCTCTCTGTCTCCCTCCCTCCTCCCTCTCTCTTTTTTTAGTGGACGTCGAATTTGCAAATTATAAAGGTCGATAAGGCACCGCAGGGAAATACAACGTGCTCTGATTGTATTCAAAATCGCATTGTGCTTCTCGAAGATTAATGTTATCGATATAGTTTATGGATATCTGTTATACACGGTTATATGCGTGTATAGATAGGAATTTCTAACGTTGGCTCCGGAAAGGTAGAGCAGATACATCTTTTTACCGAGGGAGATGTATGTTTGTGTGCTAAATAGGGGTATGTTTATCTGTTAAAACACAGAGGGACGGAATTTGCTTCGACGTTTCTAACTCTTTGCTAGTATTAAAATACGAGCCATTGTGAAAAATGTATATATTATTATTCTTTTTTACGGATTAAATATATCATTCGTTTATCTAATCCATCTTTTATCATCCCACTGTAATTTCATCCTTGTAGGATGATATTTTGTTTCTCTCTGGCGCAATTGAAACGATCATAAATCTAATACGATAACAGCTTTTATTGGGTATAAAATTTTTGGAGATTGGGTATGGTTATTTAAAAATCGTGATCTCGTGGATATGTTACAAGTGTATTATACAAGTTATTATATAATCACTTGACTATTTATCATGGACATAGTACAGAAGTCTTATTATATAATCCAAGACTTTGTAGCTTCGTTTTATGAACAAAAGATGGTTAATTACACGACGATAATTTCGATCAAATTATAAATGTATTCACGCATTGTCATCGATGCGTGTAACTTTTATGTAATATATAACTTTGCGACAATATGGCAATACATTGAATAACAGCCTTGAGCATTCTACTCATTTTACTTTGAACGAACCGCGTGTTTATTCGCTTGCCTGTACTACTTGGATATTTCCATAGTTGCATTAGTCATCGAACCGTAGATAATTTGAATTTATAAGATCACGAGAAATTCTATTCTGAACATCGAATAGATTTCTATCAGGCACTGCGGGAAATCAGGATTAACACAATGTTCCCTTATGTCTTTTCTTACTATTCGATCTTATGTACTGTTCGGAATGATTGTATTATGAAGGAATAATAAATGACGTGACTTTCGAGATCGTATTCTAATTATATTTTCGTATTTCTGTGAAATATTACGTAAATATTTTATTTCCTTTCGTAGAATATTAATTTCTTTGCTTTATCGTGAAGAATTAATAAAATATAATTTATTTTGATATATGGAGCAATGGTCTGAGTTTAGGACTGAGTTTATGTATCAATCAAAATTTTTTCGATGTTCGAATCCGAATCACAGCATTCCTTTACTATCGATCGTCGATTAGAAATTCATTTCCATGTGTCAAAGTGAATTAAGTAATGTCGAAAGAGGTATGTCGCGCCAATGAAACTTTGATTGGTGTAATTTATTCTCTAGCTCCACGACACCGAATATAAAAGTACAGTAATGTTTTTTTCGAATGACCACCCACGATGTGAACGTTAAATATTCTCACGGATTAAAAAACAACTTAGAAACAGTGATTCAATCGAGTTAACATATGTCAGAGATAATTCGAAATTATGAGTCATGTTCTTTTTCGTTTAAAATTTTTCTCATAAATGATAACTATAGAATATGATACTATAGAAGATACTTGTGCAATTTTTCAAAAATGAAAAGTAATTAAAATAAGTCCTTATTTGGATACTTTTTTTTTTTCGTTCATTAAAATTTATTTACATTTTATAATTATTATAAACTTCTTATCAACAAATAATCAAATTTTATCTACTGCCAGAAAAGTAGGAATTCATATTTGAGCAAAGAATTGATTGATAGAAAAATTTGAAGATTGAATATAATCCATATAACATTAAATATTAATACGTCACATATAATAAATTTTAATTGATATATTTGAGAATTAGTGATAATCAGTTTTTTTTTTTATAGGTAAATATTGAAAGCAAATATCGATAATCGGTGAAGAAGGAATCTTGCTACAATAACGATAGATTAAACTGAACTTCAGAACAGATCTTGCTTCCATTTTATTCTATATTTTGCTTGAATGTATTCACATTTTATATTGATAAAGATTAAAAACAAACTTCAAATTAACAAAACATAATTTCAAAAATCAAATATTTGAACAGAAATTTTTACGTTAAATAAAATAAATAGGGAGAATATTCAAATGTATTTCGTTAATGATCATAAAAAGAAAGTGTGGTTTTAAAATTATAAAAAAATCTCAAACGATTGATTCGATGGGCAATTATATGAGGCCTACCGATCCTTTAAGTCTTTCTCTTCCCAAAGGTATCAATGTTGACACGACCCCGATCAAACGATCGAAATTACCTATCATTTTCATCATTGGAGGACCGGGATCTGGAAAAAGTTATTATATTTATTTCATTATCACATAACCTTAGATTTCATTAAATTTTAATTATCTTTTTTATTTTTTTTTTATTTCATATTTCACATTCAATTTTTTGAAGATAATAAATAATAAGATAGATAAAATTAACGCATTTTTTAACAAATGCAAAGAATTAATCACATCAATAACGAGATTACTAATTTTATTTTGAAGAAAAATTCATTTAAATATCTAAAAGAATTGAATTAATGAAAATAATAAAAATATGAAATATGAAAATCACGTTATTTTATTATCTATTGTTATTATCAATATTATATTATTTTTATTTTTATACTTTCAATTTTAATTATCATTTTATCCGTTTTAAAATTTTATTACTTCACTTACAATCTATACTCATTTCATT